GGTGCTTGTCAGATGTGTTCGTTGCAGAATCAAGGTGAGCAAATGCTACCTTCTGACTCAGTCTGGCTTGAAGAAAGATCTGGTAGATGGGATGGCAGGTAATAAATCCACTAGTTTAGGGAGTTGGGTCTGGATGATACAACAGGAATCTTCCATGCCTGTAATCCTGTACCTGTGAGAGTAGAGTCTATAAGAGGAAACTTGTCATACTGGTTCTTTTATCAAGATGATGGTCTTAGCTGCTCAGCTAAGTTTCCATTATTCACATTTTGAAAGTGTGCGCTCTGTTGCCTTAAAGACAATTTTCTCCACCTCTCCTGGCTGGATGCCCAGCATTGTAAGATGGAGAACAATGGGAGCTAATGCTAATGCTGGAAGCTGGGGACACATGTGGTGCTCTGTGCTTGGCTTAGAGATCCCTGGAAACCTACTGGGGAAGCAAGATCTATAGGAGTGTTAATGCTGTGAGGCCCCCCTCCCACCAATCCTATCCTCCCTGGGGAGAGCAGTAAATTGCGGTGCCACCATGGAGAAGACCCTTTCTATTTTATCATCATCATCATCATCATCATCATCATCATCTATTAATACCCTACCCATCAGACACTCTGGGTGGCTTCAAACATAATAAAAACACAGCAAATGTCAAACATTAGAAACAATCATAATGCATGGAGCTGCCCTAATGAGGCACCTATTTGGAAGCAAATAATAAATTAATAGATTGCAATTTTGTGACGAATATTCAGATCAGCTTTAGAAGTCACATCTCAGAACATCACTTATTCTTTGCTGCACCACTCTATTTAAAATATTTTTTTCTGGATAAGTCATCTGCCGGCTTGAATTGTAGACATTCTGCAGCATGCAGGCATTCACAAGCATGTAGGCATTCACAATTGCAGGGGTGCGGGTGGTGCTGTGATTTAAACCACTGAGCCTCTTGGGCTTGCTGATCCGAAGGTTGGCGGTTTGAAACCCCCTGATGGGGTGAGCTCCCATTGCTCTGTCCCAGCTCCTGCAAACCTAGCAGTCTGAAAGCACGCCAGTGAAAGCAGATAAATAGGTACCACTGTGGCGGGAAGGTAAAGGGTGTTTCTGTGTGCTCTGGCACTTGTCACAGTGTTCTGTTGTGCCAGAAGTGGTTTAGTCATGCTGGCCACATGACCCAGAAAGCTGTCTGTGGACAAATGCCGGCTCCCTCGGCCTGAAGTGAGATGAGCACTGCACCCCATAGTTTCCTTTGACTGGACTTAACTGTCCAGGGGTCCTTTACCTTTTACCTTTACCGAGGCATTCGCAAGCCTCTCAGCTTGCATATAAACCCACTGCAAAGCCTCTTACAAACTGATCTTCATTTCTCACAGCATGGCAATGTGTCTTTGGTAGTAGGCAGTGTTACTAATGTCGTTATATGCTGTATGATCAATCATTGCAATGTTGGCAGCCAACTGATAGACTCTGCGCTACCATAGATGGCAACCACTGTCAGTAATGAGTTATAGGCATGCAGCAGAACAATAAATTCATAGTTAAAACAATAGATTATAACAGCAGCACACAAACAAACAGAGGGCGATACATCACACACTTCCTGGCCCCTTTGTAGTTTCCTAGGGACTATTCCTGCTCTGTGCCTATAGTTTTCAAAGTGAGAGGTGAAAGATTCCAGGAGCTCTAGAGGCACTCACTGGCTGCCTTGTAATATACCCTAATAACACACTATTAGGCTGTGTACCCACCACATATTTAAAGCACATTCCTTCCTCAAAATAATTGTGGCAGCAGGGGGAGGAATCCTGCTCAGCTTGGCAGAATTCCATGCAACCCCCTTCTTGATTCATGCAACCTGAATCAGTTTTCATCCCATCCCTAATCATTTGCTGCTATATGCTGTTTCATTTTTGCATTTTGCTTCATTCCCAGGGATTTCTTTGGCACTTCTAGAGGAGGTTGGCTGTCTCCCTATGGGATTAAATGACGAGGGACCTTTCAGAAAGGACAGTGAGTCACAGGAGTGTGGGAGGAAGGAATCATTAGGAACTGTCAGGCCAGTGGGCGTGAGGAAGACTTGCTGGCCGATGTTCAGCCACCAGTACAGATTGGATCTGTCAGGAAACCTCCAAAGGAGTGTTTTTGGTAATAAAAAACAGGCTCCTGGAAAGAAAGGACTTGCCTTGTGGATTCATTTGAACAGAAACAAATGCCAATTTCCTCTCATTCGTATATCAATGTTTCAGTTTTGTTTTCATTCTTTACAAACCTTAGGAAGCTGACCTCGAATATGAAATACGGATCAACAAAGGGAGGTGGCGCAGATCAATGGTTAAAGCACTAAACTTCCAGGCCTGAAACTGCGCAAATAGTTGCCTTGTGCATTCCTAGATTTATACATGGGACAGTGATGCCCTAGGACAAAGTTGAGGAACCTTTTTCAAGCACTTTCCGTTGCACCCCATGAGGGGAAATGGGATGTGACATGCCTGGGTCCCTCCTCAGTGTGCAAAATTCTGGCTGGAATTTGTCCTTCAACTGTGAAAATGCCTCTTACTTGCCTGGATGGAAAACAATGAGTGCATGTAGAACCTCTGACTTAGGTGTGGCTGAAATGTAGCCTTATCAGGCTAAAGTAAGAGTCACTTTTATTGGTACCACTACTTTCAGTCTGGCCCTGGCTACCACAGGCATCCAACCCAACCCAGCCCTGCTTCTCACCTTCCTTGAGGGATTTCCCCCCCCCCCTTCTTCAGGCTGGAATGTGCCTTGAACTGTGAGGTTGCCTCTTCCTTGCCTGGACAGAGAATGGAGAGATAGATATGAATGTTGTGGGGAGAGGAATAGAAACCGAAGACTTTTGTGTGGCTCGAACATAGCCTACTATACACAGGCAGAGCTTCAAATTAATTGCACCATCATATTTTTGCCTCTGGCCCTAGCCACATTTATATATTCCCCCCTTACAACAACAACAACAACAACAACAACAACAACAACAACAACAACAATAATAATAATAATAATAATAATAATAATAATAATTTATTATTTATACCCCGCCCATCTGGCTGGGTTTCCCCAGCCACTCTGGGCGGCTTCCAACTGAATATTAAAAACAGTACAGCATCAAACATTAAAAACTTCCCTAAAGAGGGCTGCCTTCAGGTGACTTTTAAAAGTAAAATAGTTGTTTATTGCTTTGACATCTGCTGGGAGGGCGTTCCACAGGGCAGGCGCCACTACCGAGAAGGCCCTCTGCCTGGTTCCCTGTAACCTTACTTCTCGCAATGAGGGAACCGCCAGAAGGCCCTCGGTGCTGGATCTCAGTGTCCGGGCTGAACGATGGGGGTGGAGACGCTCCTTCAGGTATACTGGACCGAGGCCGTTTAGGGCTTTAAAGGTCAGCACCAACACTTTGAATTGTGCTCGGAAACGTACTGGGAGCCAATGCAGATCTCTCAGAACCGGTGTTATGTGGTCCCGGCGGCCACTCCCAGTCACCAGTCTAGCTGCCGCATTCTGGATAAATTGCAGTTTCTGGGTCACCTTCAAAGGTAGCCCCACGTAGAGCGCGTTGCAGTAGTCCAAGCGGGAGATAACTAAAGCATGCACCACTCTGGCAAGACAGTCCGCAGGCAGGTAGGGTCTTAGCCTGCGTACCAGGTGCTGGTAGACAGCTGCCCTGGACACAGAATTAACCTGTGCCTCCATGGACAGCTGTGAGTCCAAAATGACTCCCAGGCTGCGCACCTGGTCCTTCAGGGGCACAGTTACCCCATTCAGGACCAGGGAATCCCCCACACCCGCCCGCCCCCTGTCCCCCCAAAACAGTACTTCTGTCTTGTCAGGATTCAACCTCAATCTGTTAGCTGCCATCCATCCTCCAACAGCTTTACATTCATCCTAGAAACCAAATTTACATCTTGCCTTACATTCATCCTAGAAACCAAAGTGGCCTGCATGTGGTTCCCTTCGACAAGATGGTGTGCTCAGATGCTTCCATGCCACAGTCTGTGACTTTTGAGGCATGTTGGTATGGAGGGTATGGAGTTATGCAACCCCTGAGCCAAGGAGATAAGTAACTATACAACCTTTAGAAGGCATCTGAAGGCAGTCCTGTATTGGGAGGTTTTAACATGTTTGATGTTTTATTATGTTTTTCTATATGTTGGAAGCCACCCAGAGTGGCTGTGGCAACCCAGTCAGATGAGCAGGGTATAATGATGATGACGATGATGATGAAATAGGACATCCTGATTTTCATCCGATAAATATTGGAGGGTATGTGTGGTCCCCAGAAAGTTGCTAATGACACAATATGGCCCTCAAATTAAGAGAGATGTGCTCAATCATGTCTTAAAGGCAGTGGCAAGCAGTGATACTTCCATAGCCAGCATTCTGGGGGAAGAGAGTAGGGTTGGCTGGGTGTACTCTATGTCTTTAAAGCACATTTGAAGCACATCCTTTCCCCTCAAAGAATTCTGAGCACTGTAGCTTGTTCCGAGTTTCTCAGAACTGTAACTTAGCAATCAGAGAAAAATACAACATTGCGTGATGCTCCTGCCAGTGGAACGTTGGTTAGGATGTAAGCCATATCATACAAGGGTGAAGGAATGATCGCCAGGTGTGGAGCACACTTCCACCTGCAGACAAGCCACAGCTGTCTGAACATCATGCCCTCTATCTAACCTTTGGCTTTCTCAGTGGTCTGCCGTGCCCTGTCTGTGACCTTTGTCTCCTTCATACATTGTTCAAGGGGGAAATGATGCGGTGGAAACAGGTGCCAAAATAACTTTGTACCACCCCTCGATCTCGGGACTGGAAGATGTGTAAAGGTCACAGTCCAAAATGTATCTGACCGGTTTTGCATATTGTGCTAATAAAAAGAGCCTCGGCAGAGCTAGCTGGCAGCTTGCTTATGCACAGCTCGCCTGCATTACCAACTCCTGCCTCATGTCCTTCACTTCACAAGGGTATAAATATGTGCTGGGTTTCTGATTTAGGTCAGCAGCAGCTCCTTCCCAAGGTGCAGGAGGAGCCCCCAGTCCAGGTGCAGCAGGGGCTCCGCTCCAGACCAACGTGACCAGCAATCGTAGGCTGCAGCAGACACAGGCTCAAGTGAATGAGGTGAGCTGAACACAAGTTGTCTTTGTTGAGGTCTGTGGATTTCAGCATTGTGATCTGGATCATCTGTTGAGTACCAGTTTTGAATATGCCACTCACCTAGGGTGTGCAGTCATTGACCCGAGGTGAATACTCATGTAACAAATTCTGCATTGTTGTTTATTGTGGTGGTCTACCCTTTTTCATGTTTCTTGAAGTGACTAAGGCTGCAATCGTAGCCCCGCTTACCTGGGAGTAAGCTGCCTGAATTCAATACTTCCAAGTGGACATGGTTAGGATTGCACTGTGAATCTATGTGTAGATTCACAACCAGCTGAGTAGCTCTTGTGTCTCAGGTTCTGTGCATCATCCTTTATGTCTTTCATCTGCCTTAAAAGCTCTTGTATGTTTAAGGCAGAAGCTGAAGACGGAACAGGGCATAGCTGGGGCAGTTTTGGACAACACAGACAGGCATAAGAAAGCGACAGGCACACAAACTCTCACTCCTTCATGCATCGTCAGACACAAGAAGCAGAGTCAAACACTGTCTCTCATCAATGCACAGGGCACAGCTAACATCACTGGGAGTTTGTGGGAAGAAATCCACTAAAGTAGGGGTAGGGAACCTTCATCGCATGAAGCAAATCTGGCCCAACAGGCAACCTCCCCATTTGGCCCACTTGGGGTGGGCGATGAACTATAGGTGGGTTCCCACGAGGCAAGACACAGTGATAACAGCAAGAACCTTTACTGACTACGTAACTGGGTAACAGGGGCAAATCAACTGCTTATATACATTTCTGAAAGCCTGGGCCACTCCCATTCCCAACGTGATTGGCTGTCTAAACTTCCAAGCTGCAAATCACAACTCAGAGTTCAAGGGCCAATGGCAGAGGCCTAAATCCTGAAATGTTCTGTGATTGGACATCATGTATCAAATCAGAACATTGGAGCTCAGAATCCTTAGTCCAGACTCGAGATCAGGCAACACAGACCACTGACTACATAACAGGCAACCCGCCTTTTTGCACTACTGTTGTTATTATCCCTGAGCTCAGAGCTCAGCCTGCCACTGCCACCCACCAGCCTCTGCAAACCTGCTGCTTGCTTTCCCCCCCATGCCTGCTTGAGTCACCACTTCTGTCTCACTACTCTGCACTTGCATCCGCCCTCACACATACAAGTGAATGAGCCAGTCCGCCAGCCAGCCAGCCAGCAGGCCAACGCTTGCTGCTTATTGACCACCTTCTCATCTCCTGCCACCTTCTTGCCACCATCAAAGACCAAAGAGAGAGGTGAGAGCCAATTTGCATTTCAGCCACACACGCTAACAGCAAACACCAGATTTCCACCAGCTGCCTCCTGTCCCAGAACAAACCTGCAGCCAAGCCAGTTGGGTCCCCTCCCCCTCTGCTTCCAAGTCAGCTGACAGCATTAAGTGGCAATGTGGGAGCAGCAGCGGGAACAGAAAATCTGTGCTCAGTTTCCTACAAAATACTGGCATTGGTATTGGGGAAATGCAATAGTCCCACAAAAGAATCATTGCATTTGGGGGGTTGCATTTGGATCTCACAGAACAAGCACATAACAGTCCTTGTCCATTTGCTGCAATTTGGAGAAGTGGGGGAGTCCATCTGAAAAGATCCTTAGAAAATGTCCATTAATATGTGGTGCCATATTAAACATATCCTCAAGGTGGCACTAAACATCCACACCATAATAAAATCTATTACTATTACAGTTTGGGGTGTTTCTGTGAAAAATGTCAAGCTGTTGAATCCATTTGGTATTATTTGCAGCTGTCATTCACTGGAGCACTTCATTAAGAAAACTTTTTCCGTCTTGAGTGTTTCACTTTCTTCACCATTAGCTGAAATTAACTAGTTGAAATTAGAATGCTTTGGTTGCTTCTTCATTTAATATAGCTACTCTTTTCTCTTTCTAAATGGAAATAAACAGCCCTAGCCTTTGGGTGTTTCCTTCAGAATTAAGTATCACTTAAGGGGCTTATTTCCTGGCAAGTGCGATTAGAAATGCAGCCTAAGACATTTACTTAAATAAAATTTTTATTGGTTTTACATAAAGTTATACACAATAACTATAACCATTCCAAATCATAAAAATAACAAGGTTCTTTCGAACCTTCAGACCTCCTTCCCCCCCTTCCATAGGTTCCATTTCTTTTTTTTCTTTCCTTTTTCCCTGCATCTTTTACCATTATCCATCTATTATATAATCATAGTAACCAAAATTCATTTCACATTGCAAGTGTCATTGTATCCCTGCCAATGATTTTAACTGCCTACAGTGGCCTTTTAAGTATACAATAAAGTTATTCCACCCTTTTTAAAAACACTTGTTCTTCCTGGTTTCTGATCTTTCCAGTTAGTCTTGCCATTTCTGCATATTCCATCACAGCCTAAGACATTTAAACCATCAATCCCTGCCTTGTATTTGACTAATTCAGTTGTTCCTCATTCCTGCACAGAGCAAATAGACAGAGGGGTTATTGGAATTGGCAATAGGACATCACTGCTACCCCCAGCCCCGTACCTGACATCTGCCCATGAATTTGCCCATGGTCTGAACATGCTTAGTCTCACCTTTTGGATGTTGCGCAAGTTTGAAAATGTGGTGTGGGGGGAGGGACAAGGATGAAGAGCATAGCTCTCTGTTTCTCCATCCATACATTCACTCTCTGCATGGAGGGGAAAGACCTGACTAGGCCTATAGGTCACCACCCCAGTGTTTTACAAGCTATTGATATGCCCATTTCAGGTGGTGGATATAATGCGAGTCAATGTGGACAAAGTACTAGAAAGAGACCAGAAGCTTTCGGAGTTGGATAACCGGGCAGACGCCTTGCAAGCTGGTGCCTCCCAGTTTGAAACGAGCGCAGCTAAACTGAAGAGGAAAAACTGGTGGAAAAACTGCAAGGTAAACGTTACTACTGCAAGGGTGTAAACAGGACATAGTTCCAAAAGAATGAGTGCAGAGATTAAACCAGGGGTGGCCAGACATTCAGCCTGTCTTTTTATTTGTGCCCCAAGATCCACCAACAAAAATCAGGTGCAAAATAGGTAGAGATGGGAGGTCGTACACATCAAATTAAGGAAGAGAGCACCTTTTCAGTACCAGAACTGAGTTCAGTACTTTCAGATCAAGCCTCACTTCTGCATTTCTGCTTTTAGCCAGTCTGATTTTGGTGGGAGACAAGCCTAATTGTTTTAGCTATTGTTAAATGACTGGGAGTCAGAAACCCCATGGCAATCTGTTGCAAGTTGCCCAGACATCTTACGAGTAGATCATGATCTACTTTTCTTACAGCACATGTTTGTTGCCTGGGAAATCTGAAGTATCAGCTGTAGAAGAAGGCAACTACCCAGTGCAAATGTATAGGCAAAGCTAACCTTTCTCTGTTTTCCTCCCCTGAACTGACTCTCCCTCTCTCTCCCTCTCTAGATGATGATCATCCTGGGTATCGTATGTGCAGTCATTCTCATCATAATTATAAGTGAGTGGTTCAATTCTTTGTTTTGAATTACCTTCACATTTCATTTCATGACAAACCATTCTGAAGCGGGGGGAGAGAAGGACAAATAATATTACAAGTTTGGAATTTCCAGTGTCCCATTCTCTTACCAACCCGCCCCCCCCAAGAGATCAACAATGCCCCTTCTCAGTGCTTTTTTTTCTTAAAAAAATATTAAGGGGTACTCTCATTACATCTGAGACTCAGGAAAACACAGTGACAGGAAATGAGGCCGCCATTGGGGGTAGCAACAGAACTGACTAGACTATTCACTGTGCTATTCAACAGAACTGATGATTCTCTCCCATTAAATTCACAAAATGTTTAGGGGTACGTGTACCCCTGCATCCCCCCAGGAAAAAAACACTGCCCCTTCTATAAGGAGGCACCCTAAGTAATGCTTCCTTTATAGCTGGCTTGTTTTTGTTTAAGTGTCCATTGTATAACTGCTTAATTTTCTCATTGCTAAAGGGACAAACCTTTTTCATGATGAAGTAGAACACTTACGTAATTATAAAAGCTCTAATCTTGGTCTTAAAATCAACAACAAAAGTCTTTCTGAATCCAGGGTCGGTCATTAAATTAGCTCAGTGCTGCAATAGCTGGACAAAGCCCTTCTGGTGGCTTGGTAGGGGTGGATTAGGAAACCTGAAACCTGGAAACCTTGAGATGTGTTGAGATTTCATCATAACAAGGTGTATGCATAGGACAGTAATGTATTTATTTTAATACTGTAAACTCACATTCAATGTCCTGTTAAGGCAAGCATTGTCATATTTAGAATATGGCATTGCACCTGAAATTATAGATTTATCTTGTACAGTACCCATTACAGTTTTATGACACTGCAAACCTATGTACTGTGCACAGGATTGCACCTTGAAGGTAATAGTGGTTTGGTTAAAATAATCAACACTACCAATGTTTCCCTATGACTACCAGCATTTCAAAGGGCTGCATTAAGTTAACCAGTTTTGCTAGGAGCAAGAGAAGAAAAAATACGGCTTTTAAACCTACTTGCTGCATTAAAATTGCAGCATAGACACAAGCATATGGCAATAATTTCATCACCTTGTGGTAGCTATGGACAGATGGACTTCAGTTAGAAACGGGACTCAGCTTGCAGGTACTTCTGGGCCCACTGCTGTCGCTTGAGGCTCTTGTGGCCTCAGCAGCATGGAATGCCTGCCATCAGGTTGGGCTGGTACCCTATGCTCTGGTAACCTCTAGGTTAGATTACTGCAATGCATTATACGTGGAGCTCCTCTGGAGGTCATTTGGAAACTTTAGCTGGTGCAGAATTCAGCAGCCTGGTTGCTCACTGGGGCAATACGTTATAAACTTATAATGCCAATACAGGCCCAATTCAAAGTCCTGGTTTTGTGGAATGCACTCCCAAGGGAGACTTACCTGGTGCCATCTTTGTGTATATTTTCATGCCTGGCAAAAAGACCACTGTTCTCCCATGCCTTTAGATAATTAAACAATTTATGGTCTTTCAAATTGTTTGGTAGGGTTATTGTTTTTGCTTGTTATATTGTAAAGACTCTCCTCCCTGGAAGAGAGGGGAGTGGTTGTGGGCGGGAGCCTGGGCTCCGCCTCCTGGCCGGGGGCCTTAGCCCCCGCCCCTCCTCACCTGGCTGGCGCCCACGCCCACCGGAGGCAGCCAACCAGGTGTCTCCGGGGGGCGTGTTTAGCAGCTTAATGCTGCGGGGCCAGCTCCACCTCCTCCTCAGTCGTCGTCGTCCTGCAGCGAGTCACCCACCCTCCACTCCCATTTAGCTCAGGGTCTAGGTTTTTGGCCTTGCTATGGACCTTAGGTTGGTCACCCCGGTTGTCTGGGGGGCCTGGTAGGAATTTTTCCATTTGGCATTAGGCTTTTTGGTTTTTTCGCCTACCTCGTAGCAATCGTCACAACTTTTGTGGAATTGGTGGGTAGGTTAGGCATTGGATTCATGTGTGTCAAGGGCTAGGTGTGGCCATCGCCTATGCTATCTACCGTGGGTTATTCCGTTAAAGGAATCTGGTGGTCGTGTATTCCGTCCGATGCCTGCTTGGCGGGAGGCCATGGCACGACCCTCGGTGACATCAGGGGTGAGCCTATAGTTGGATTGGCATCAACAGGCTCCACCTACTGTTGAATAAACCCACCTCCTATAGTCATCCAATGCCTAAGCCAATACCTTTTCACTGCTGTAAGCAATAAAGTTGTGGCCTTTTCTTGCCCATTAACCTTATATCACGCGTCCTTGTGTGTTTATTTCACATAGCGGGGGTCGGGCCCTCGATCCACAACGTATATTTGTGTTTTTATATAGTAAACCACCCTATGAACCTCAAATGAAGAGTGGTGTGTGTGTGTGTGTGTGTGTGTGTGTGTGTAATATCCCTCCTGACATCAAATGACCTCCCCCACTGCCCCATTTTTTTTTATTCAAGTCCCGCTAGTTCCAGTACAAAACTTGTACATAGCCGTGAATGCCTTTATTTGCTTACTTCATTTCATTTCATTTTTAAATTCGCATATATAATTTTGTCACTAACTTTCTCTTTGTGTTTTGATTGGATAAGCATGCTCATTTCCCTGACTGAAATATTAAATATTTACCTTCTTCATTCTTCTTTTCTTCCAGTCTATTTCTGCAGCTGAACCACTCGTGGCAAATGGCTTGGCATGGCTTGTTTCCTGATAATCTCTCAAATGAAGCCTGCTTTTTAATTCCTTGTGTCTTGGGGCTCTTAGCCTGCAACAGTATGTAAGAATTCAGTGATTCAGTGTAGTCTGATTTTGTTTCCCTTTTGGTATTATGTCACACACACACACACACACACACACACACACACACAGACAGTATGTGTGTGTGCCAGCAAATACTGCCAACCAATGCCACTTATTGATCTCTCACTGTGTCTTCACATGTGCCCATGCTGACCTTCAGAAACTAATTTTTGGAAACCATTATATATATATATATATATATATATATATATATATATATGCAGGTTTTGGTGTCCTCGGGTGTCTTCCCGTGTAAAAGTTGGGGTGTCTAGGCGACGTTTCGACGAGGTCTCACTCGTCATCTTCAGGCTGGTGCTTTCGGCTACTTGTCACCAGCCTGAAGATGACGAGTGAGACCTCGTCGAAACGTCGCCTAGACACCCCAACTTTTACACGGGAAGACACCCGAGGACACCAAAACCTGCATTCCTGTACCCGTGAAAATCTACGAAAGCATATATATATATATATATATATATATATATATATATATATTACATTGAGCAAGAGCAGTTTTGGAGCTTGTACGTAAAGGCACCTTCCAAAACAGGTATGTGTGATTAGATATTGGGGCCATCATTTTCAAAACGTGCCTAGGAGACCTCTGTCTCAGTGAGCTATGATTGTCGTGAAAGCTGAGCACCCACTAAATATGCTGAGGTCAACAAGAGCTTCAGATCCACTGGGCACTTTATCAGCAAGTGTAATTTTTCTATCAAAAGGAGGTATCAATCCCAATAAGACAGGCTCCAAAGTGATGAGAGTTTCTAAATTATTTGTATAAAAACACAAAGATGGCTTGCTTAAGCCATGTAGTCTAAACTTGGAGCATCTGGCTTAGACCTCTTTAGTGGTAGGGTTCACATGGTGAAATGGGAAGAACAAATGCTTGATAACCCTTCCTTCCCAAGGTGAGGGGCAGTGACCTAGTGAAGTCCAGCAGGACAGCTTACTCTATGGTCTTAACCCCTTCATGTATTAATTAGACTCAAGCACATTGCTTATATGAGGCTGGATATCCCACACCTCCAACAAAGGAGGGAGTCCACCAGAAGACATTTCAATGAGGACACCCTCAAACCTGAAGTCAGCTTTGTCCACCACTCTAAGCATTATACTATACAGTGGTACCAAATGGAATCCATTCTGGAAGTCTATTCGACTTCCCAAACATTCGGGAACTGAGGCACGGCTTCTGATTGGCTGCAGAAAGCACCTGCAGCCAATTGGAAGATGCGGAAGATGCATCACACATTCGGGTTCCAAAGAAGGTTCGAAAACCTGAACAATCACTCCCAGTTTTCAATCATTCAGGAGCCAAAACATTCAACTCCCAAGGAGTTTGAAAACCAATGTATGACTGTATTGACACAGGTACACCACATAGGCATAGCCAAGATTTATTTTAGGAGGGCAGGCTTTATGTTGGGGGGGGGCAGAATTGAATTATCTGTGATGCAATTGGTCAGTTAAGTATTTTTATTTATTTACTTGATTGAGGGGACAGCTGCACCTCCCCCAGCTACGCCCATGGTGCACCACACCTAAGAGAATTATATTAAAACAGGGGTGGGGAGTGCACTCTGACTCTCCAAGTGTTGTTTGACTCCCATTCCCATCTGCCCCAGCTAGCATGGCCAGGGATGATGGGAGTTGTAGTCCAACAACATGTAGAGTGTTGCAGGTTCCTCATCCTTGTATTCAAATGACTACTCAGAGGGGAAATAGACAGAGAGATAGATACGCACACTTCTGGACAAATAACACATGTATGTATATTAGGAAAGGATCAGCAATGCACAGAAAAAGTATGCAGGGAGTATATGTACCAGTGAGTGATCATTTCTCTTTTTCCGAAGCTTTCTTAGTTTTCAGTTCCTCGGGATGTTTTCAGCTCCCTCTAACGTCAGGAGACGGGGGGCTTGAGACTCTTCCTGGCCTCTACTCTTTGGTCCAGAGGGGGTCCTAGCTCACCATCATAGGGGATATTTGAGAGCTTACTTCTCTCTCTTTCCCTCCTGTGGAAAAACTACCATTCTTAGTGCCTTCCTTCCTTCTCCAGTGCTCTTGCTACTAAATTTCCTTGGCCAGACCGTCACTCTCTCATTCTCTTCTGTTGTTCTCCTCCTCAATTTTCTGAAACTTTTAAGAGTATGATTCTTTGTGATGAAAAACACGTGTAACTTCTGACTTGCACCTTGCAGGATAGAACACTTCACATAACTGGCTACTTGGTAAGCAGGTGATAAAATGGAACCCACTATTCTGTTTGTTGTTGCTTTTTAAACCTTTTTTTTTTTAATCAAATCAAGTCCAGCCTAAAAAAGCCACTTTATGGTCTCCTCCTGAGTTAAGAAACTCTACTTTAAGGACAGGGAAATATCTTGAATATATAGGACAGATCAAGAAAACACATCTCATTAGCAATGTATGCACATACTCCTAAAAATAGTGTTTTCCTATACAGTACATGTGATATGCAATGCATACTGTAAGGTCAATGATTATATTCTTTGCTTAGAATGAATCGATGACTTTGAAGTAGAAAGGGAGTGTTCATTCAGGCTCACAGTCATGTATCCAGTTTGTACTCCAAGCAGAAAGTACCATACATTGTTCAGCATATTAAACCCAACCAGCAGACAGATGTCTCTGCCTTCTTGACCTGCCACCTCTAACCAAAACCTTCTTCCTTCTCCTCTTGGTACATGTTGGAATCTTTCATTGCAGAGAGAGAGAGAGAGAGAGAGAGAGAGAGAGAGAGAGAGAGAGAGAACACTAGGTTTGCCACATAGTTTACCAGCTCTTCATCTTTACCTTCCATAGCCACCTTTCAATACTCTACACATCTATGTTAAACCAGCTTTCCTCCTTCAGGTCAGTGCTTTTACAAGATGGGAACTGGGTCTATTTTCACTCAGTCTGGCACAGAAATCTTCATTCTGTTTTCTCGATTTTCATTGTGTTCCCCACCCCCACCTTATGATGTAAATATTATCATATACACATATACACACAATATCAAATGTAAGAATATAGAAAATATAAAAAACAAAACCTGTAACACCACAAATAAAAATAAAGGGAAATAAAAAGGGGAAAGGTCAGTGTGGGGGGAATCTATTCTGAGGGACTGGATCCTCTGGAACAAATTTGGGGACATAAAGGAGCTTTGTGTGGGAGGAGTGGATGGGAAAGTCCCATTGCACAAGTGGAAGTCTGCTTGCACTGTGCTGGACTTCACCCAAATAGACAAACTTTATTTGCCAGAAGCAAATTTCTATATTTGTTAATATCTAAACTAATATCTAAACTGCATCCATTTTTCATTCAATTCAGTTCACAAGTTTATTGTTCTAGCCAAAGACCACGGCAAACTTGTATTAAGCAATAGTATTAATAAAATAATACAGAACATACATCTATAATGTAAAAATCTGCAAAGACTTTGCCAAGTTGCTGAGCATTAAAACGCAGTTTCCCTTGTGTATCTCTGACAGTTCCAATTCTAATCTTATTTGCCTTTTTAAAATCCAGTTTGCCAGTATTTATGGCAAAAGAGAGAAGTTACCAGAGACACCAACAAAGACAAATACGTCTTCAGATTAAACCTCTGAATCACCACAACAATTTAGTGATTTTATCTAACTCATTTTTCCTGATATATTTTTTCAGACAGTGCATAGAGGGCCCCACTGTGTGTCATGAAGCTATTATTGTCGCTGGAAAAAAAGCTGAACCATTTCTGCCAGGGTGTACTTGCTTGCTTGTGTAGACAACAGTTTCAGAAAGCAATCTCTATATAAGGGTCAGGCTAACAGAATGAGTGACTTCCACCAGGTTGACCACACATACAAAGTCTTTCTGTACACTGGACCCTGTTGTAGTGGCCATCCAAGACTGCAATTGGCATCACTTGGGAACGCAGTTCAATAAAAGCATTTCTTAAGGAAACTGGTGAGAGTTTGGTCAGATGACTATCTGTAAAATGCTTTGTTCTCAAGAGTGGATGCCAAGGGGAAAATTTGGTGTTTTTACTTAGTTGTATGTCCTTTCTGGATATTATCCAGAAGAGCCAATTCCTTAGCTGACACTTATTCAAGGTCAAAGCAGAGCTCTTTATGAATAATGTTGTTCCCAGAATTTGTCTTCACTCTGCTCCATTACTGCTAGTCCTAATTCCTTCACTGTTTTGGTTTGGTTTGGTTTGGTTGTTGTTGTTGTTTTGTATATTCAGCTTTCTTGTTTTTGAGCAGACTCTTGTATTCCAATCTACATTTGATCAATTTTTCCATGACTTCTTCTTTTGGGTTCTTATGCGAATCCCGAATTGCTTTAGCCAAAACATTCTTAGCCACTTTGCATTGACTGTCAAACCAACCAAGGTGTGTTGATTGTGTGTAGTTATTAATTGTACAAGTTATAAAATAGGGCCTGAGTTCTGTGACAATTTGCTGGAGATTTGCTTATAAAAAATTGGTACTTGTTCATTAGAGGATTGCTATATAGTGTCTCTTAAATATTGCTGCTCCATCTGTGAGACCATTTCAGCCTTTTCACACCCTTTATTTCTCCAAACATTCTTGAAGATTCAGGTATTGGTATGCATTCTGATAAAACACATGGGGTCACTGACACTTCAAAAATGTTCACAAAAGTGAATAGTGAAGAAGAGACTATAATGTGATTGACAGCACTTTAACCATGTTTGTTCAAATAAGTATACTGACCCCCTGTGCTCCCTGGTCAGGTTCACATAGTGGAAGAGGACAAGCAGTAGGAAGAAAACAAAGAACTTTCCTAACTGGTTATCATTGGAGGTGACGGGGTGTGACCTAGCTGAGTCTAGGAAAAAAGCTTACTCTACGGTCTTAACCCCTTCATACATTAACTAGAGCTGAACATGCTAACAGAAACTTACTCTGATTTCTGCTTATCTCTTCGTCTCATCAGTTCTGTCAATTTAGACACTTCTACCACCTTCCATATTTTAAATGATTCTTTTAACATAGAAACAAAATGATTTCTCCATTTCTTAGCGGCCAACATTTTTTCAAGAACCAGCAAATTCAGATCCAGAACCTGTGGAGGGTGAAACAAGAGGCCAAGAAACATTTAAGCACCACTTTTCCTGTTCACTTCTCCCCTGCAAACCCTTGCACATATTTCTTAAAGAGAAGCAGAGGGGAATCGA